TGGCTCTCTCAAAAACTTCAGACATTACAGGTAAAAGACGTTCTGTCTGTAATTGCTCTTACTTGCCTAAAATACTATTTTCCTTATGAATGGGTACAACTTGAGCTTTCTTCCATATATCTTGAAATAATAATTTACTTCTTAACATTTATTTATTATATCTGTTAGTGGTTGGATAATAACAGGAGAGATATTTTTTTAACATTTTATCTGAAATACTGTCATAGCCTTCAACCATTTTGGTACTCATCTCCTATTTGTTTTGTTGTTTTTTTGTTTGTTTTTTTTCGGACAAAATTAACAGAAACAGTTTTAAAAACTAACACATCAGAAATATTAGTTGTTTCCATGGTTTAACTTGCACTTACATGACTAACATTACAAAGTATATTGCTATCTCCTATACTTTTGATATAAAATCCATTCAAAACATTACACATGTCTTCCTGATCAGATAAAAGAACATCATTTTCACATACTTAATTATTAGTTCAAAGTGTTTTGGGGGCAAGTAGTGTCATTGTTGGTTAAAAAAGACTGTATCATTTTTAAAAAATCAGACTGTTAACATCATTTAGAGCATCTACCCAAAAAAGTGATATTTAATTTGTGACTAGGTAACGTGATTGTCTATAATTTTCCCAGTTAATAGTATTTCTATTTCTTAGGTACAGTGGAGCCTTGCTAATCCGAACTTTTCTAATCCGGAATCCTTTCTTATCCGAACGAAGTGTCCGGTCCCGATTTTATTCGTTCTATTTTCAATAGTTAAAAACCTTTCGGATTCGGAACCTCTCTACTCCGAATTCCGGACGATTTTTTCAATTTTTGTTCTTATTTTACTCTTAAATTTACCTCTCGGATCCGAACAGATTTTGAACCTTCATTCAAAATAACAAATAATCGCACATCTTGCAGATGTAAACATACACCAAACTGATAAGTGTTATTTCGCTTGAATAATGGGTGAAACGTATGATCTGTTAATAGACCTTACTTTATAATACAAGTTACCGCCCATGCTCCCTGGCACCGGTTTAAGCAGAATTAATCATTTAAACACAAAAATGGTGAAATTTTGAATTTAGAAACATCCGCAGATGTGTTCAAGTCTAATTTATTCTTTGGGGAGATGTTATCTCACTTAATGTGTATCCATTTTTAGAAGTCCTCACATTCTAGAGCTCGATGATTACTTGCGACTGGTCGGCTGCATATACCACAAGGGTAGTTTGTGGCACCCGGTTGAGAGCAATATACCCAGCAATTTGAAGTAGATACAGTTTTCAGCATTGGTTAAGTTTGATAGGTCATGACTGAGCACGACGTGTGTGTTTGAGATGGAAATATATGATACAATGAGTGTTTATAATGTCCAAATTGGGGGCAATTTTTGAACCATTTATTATCCTTAAGTTTGTTAGACTATTCAGTTGAGGACCATCGTCTATTTTCGGATAGTTACCTTTCTACCAATTGTTAGTAATTTCAGGTGTTTTACATTGACAAAGCTGATTTTTTTTAATTTAAAATATTCAGAGGACTGCTGTCATGGCGGCCGCCATAATGAGTAGGCGGTGTCAAAATTTGTTTAATTGAACGTCTGATGACTACAACTTCCGCATGGTAAAGATCAAGCGTTTGTAGAGTCTGACTCAAGTGAAAATTTTACAAATGCACGTAATACGGTTTAAAACTTCATGTTTTAAACTAAACGTTTCATTTTTCGATTATTAAAAGTTCTCCAAGTAAAAATTTATGTTGAATATTCCCTTTGTTTGCAGAAATTTATCTGTTTTCTTGGGCGATTTAAGTTGACATTTCCGCCCTGCGCATAATATCTGCCAATTTTAAAAAAAACTACAAGTACAAGCATTTCAAAACAACTAGATCTTGCCGTTCAGCCGGGTATTCGAAAAAAATGCATCAAATAAACTCCTTCCTTCTGTTTATGTCTTGAAGAGAAATGTTCCGAATACTATATACCCCGCATGAACCTACGAAAATATAATAAGAAAATATTTTGATTTGAAAAAATGGCGTATGACGTGCCCCCATAAGTGCCCCTTTTAAAGGCCTGTTGGAGTCTTTGTTATCATGTGATTCTGGTTGTCATAGATAAGGCTGTGAAGGGTTAGAAATTGCTAATCAAAAAAATAATATTAGGGATTATCCCTTTCAATATGTGTCCATTATTTTTCAGGAATGGACACTTTGATTGCAATAGGTCTCCATTATTTGTAAAACCTATAGCATACTTGTGTACAATACTTGTCTAATCACCTGTGGTAAAGAAATAAAGACATAAAACTGAAATACAATATTTTCAAGAACTTCTACCATGATCTGATTATTTCCAGTCTGTAAATATACATGTTCCGAAAAAGACATTAATCGGCAAGAAATACAAAATTAATATAAGAATTCATCCATGAAAAACGCGAGGCATTTTTGTTTCGACATATGTTTCGTAAATTGTTGTCGAATATTAAAGTGTTTTTCGTCAGGAATCCATTTTCAAGAGTTATGAACAATGTAATGCTGACAACTAAAATTGATTATGGATTTCGAACATACTTAATTATGATGTGTTTCATTTACATATTTCATTTGCTTTCCCAGATAACTCCACAAATGGAACAATGATTATGTTTTAATAATGAGACGGATAATTAAAAGTTTAAAAAATCTGGATCATTATAATTTAAGTGTATATATGACCTAGACATCCTCAACCCCCTCCCCCACCCCACGACAAAAGAAATCTAATGAAACATGAATTTATCATCTCTAACAAAATGGAATGTTATTAACTGTTTTTGATTTCAATACGTAATAGATCGAGTTAAACACTTTTATTAGCGTAATTACATAAAAATGCATTGTGCCGTAATTGTAGAAATGTCTCCGATATAACTTAAATTATTTTATAAATGGTAAAGAAAAAAAGTATAAAAATCTCGTTTTGTCGAGAAAATGTCCATTTATCCGGCATATAATCTTCAATGCATCAAAATTACATGTACTTTTTAATTTTTTTTTTTACATTTTTTATTCTTTACATACTCAAGTAATATTAAAATATATAGAGTGTTAAAATAGGACATTTTACCGCTTTTACGCTTAATGCATTACCCAAAAAGATTTTCCGTTGCGTCGTATTTAAATCATACCCGATGAATTGTAGGTAGCTTTTGTACATGTCTGGGAAAACCAAATTCCATATTTGCATAAAAGGCTCATGTGAGAAAAAAATCATTTTTTTGCGTACTTGTTAAAGGGTTGGTTATATTGTAATATTGTAATTTATTGTCATTTTAGTTATAATATTGTGATTTGTGTACAAGTTTGTTTACATTTTTTGACACCAAATTGTCTGTCGGACAGTCAGATGAGAAAAATAAGCATGATTTGTTTTAAATAAATAGGGATATCCCGAAATTCCTTTCATGGAATTTGCTATATTTTAGATATTTAAGGTATAAGGTATAAAATATAAATAAATATATATTTTGATGTAATATGATGTAAAAAATAACATTCTTTTAATAGGGGCCCTCATTTTATTCTTCACTCGACAAAACAAAGAAAACAATCAGTTAGTATTCCGAAATAAATGAAGAAAGGAATATTTCTTTCATATTTTTTTCTATTTTCTATTTATATCTTTTAACCTTCTTTAAATGTATCATTTAAAACTTCTTCATCTGCTTGTCTGCCTTTACAACCAAGTAGCGACGCACTTTTGCATATGCCACTAGTGGGTGGGGTGACGCGGCCGGAATTATCACCAATGCTGTTAAACTTATGTTAAAAAGAATCCCGTGTCTGACGTTGTCAAAACAACTCTCCTATTACTGTATAAGTGGATATTGATGCGTCACTTTTTTTTGCAAATGTCAAAAAGTGAAATTTTTTGCGTGCAGAAATATTTGCAAAATATGATTTTTTTTTGAAATTACTACTTAACTATTTTTGTGATATTATTAATTAAGCAGATACATGTTAAGAACACGCCATTATTGTAATCGTTCTATTTAGGTGTTTAATACTTGACTTTTTTATATAATTGTTTGAAATATATATTATAATTGTTAGTTTGACAAAGGGTCTTATCACACATTTCTTGGTCATATTTTGAAATATTTATTTGTAATATGAATAACCTATTGTGTTATTAACACAGACAGTACATTATTTCATTAAAACATTTGTGATTTTTAAGACCAAACTTAAACAAACAAGCAGTGAGAAAAAATAAGCTCATTACCTGAACAGTCAAACTTATTGATGTAAGATGCTGGTAGAAAAAGGTTTGCATAAAATGAAATAATTTTTGCGCGATAAAATATTTGCGAATAATATCAATTTGCAAAAATCGCAAATATTTCCACATCGAAAAATTAACCACTTATAGAGTATTCTTACAAGTTCTCCTTGACCATTTAGAAAAAATGTATTCTTTATTGTTTTCTCATTATTTCTTCAGTAACCGAAATTTAAATAATAAAATCGAGTACTATTCAAATATCTTCTTTGTGAAGAGTAACTATCAGTGATTATCTCCCTTGGAGGCGTATTACGATGCGCACAAAAACTACCGAAAACATCTTTAAAGATGTCTTGCTGTGAGCAAAAAAGAAACAACAAAACCAAAAAACAACAAAAAAAAAACATAAACAAAAACGAATAAAACAAAAATAACATCACTTTACTAAAGTGTGTGTTATGACTTAAATGAAACAAGTGACATTTACCGTCTTATGCAGACTTGCAAACCTATGAGTTATTCTTCTTTTCTAGATTGAAAAAGCATCGTTCTGCCCACTGCTTTGAAGGTAGAAATGAACTTGGTTTAATTCTGTCAAAGTTATTGACTGTATTTCATTACATGTTTGCTTACTCTTACTTTTTTATAATAATGTTGATGTAATATAGTGCCAAATTATATGAAAATATTGTATGACACAATTATTTTGCATTGTTTATCCATTTAGGAAATAACCCTGTAACGTTGAAAAGGCTGCTTTTTGTTTGACAACGGGAAGAAAAAAACACGTTTATTCTAAAGCTTTGAAAACATGCCAGTTGATATTTACAACAAAAACTTTCAAAACTGGTTAAAAGGTGTGTTTGGGCTCAGCACCACAAGATCTGTTTTGTGTCAATATATTATAGATCAGCTCAATGAGGACTTGAAAGACATTCCGGTCTCAGAACTAAAGCAATTTTTCAGATGTCTATGTTCAAATAAAATTTTCCAATTAAAAACTGCAAGAAAAATTCCAAGAACATGGGAATGTAAACATGAGAAATGCAAAATACTGATGGAACGTTTTGTTCACAATCATACAGAGTTTGGCGTTTTAAAGTTCGAATGGAGCAAATCCTCATATGAAAGCATTGACAATCCTGATCTTGAAAATGTAGATATCGATGTAAAATGGGAAGTTGTTAAATTATACATGTATGTCGAAAAAGAAGAAGCTGTAGTGAACTACAACAGTATAGAATGTCTTGATATATCTCATGCTACCAAAGTCATTAGAAATTGTAAAGTACTTTCTCCAGATGGCTCAGCTGAACCTTGTGAAAGGGTAAGCAATGTTTTCTTATGCATTCGTATATCAATTTCAGGCTTATTTTACTGAACCATCATCTGTAACTAGACTAAGTAAAATGTTCAATTCAATATCGGCTGCTTTTCATTATAGTAACAAATGTAATGAAAATTTAAAAATTCAAAAAAGAATGCACACTTCTGCTCTATAAAGTGAAATCGTCATAACTTTCTTTAAAAGCTGTCTTTATTTTGCGTTTACTGTTTTATTTTTATTTTTTAAAATAATAGACAATACTATGTAATAATATGTATTTAGATGAACTAGGTCCGCTTGACAGTATCCCAATAGAAAAAACCTGGATTACCGCCGTAATAGATGCAGACTGTATGTAATTTCACAATAATTTTCAAAACGGCTGACGTACTAACAATCATTTGTGTATGCTAAAAAAACTATTCTTCCAATTCGTAGATACTTCTTTAAGGTCAATAGTGTTCATTTATTTGGTCTGCAATTTATCTTAAAATGAAGAAAATGCTTTATGGTACTTTTTCTAAATTATTTTACTCCAAAGTCTAGTCCTTTTATAATTTCTCAGATTGAAATGTCAATCGGTCTTGCTTTCAATACACATATATCTGAAATAGTTATATAACTGGAGATTTCAAATTAGACACGCAAAACGATACAAAGGCAAACGAATCAACAGCATTGGAACACTTAAGTAAAACAACAACTTGCACATTATACTTCGTGTTCAAACTCCCTGATAGATATGTTTTAGTCTCTTAAAATTGCAAAGTAGAGTCGCATACCATTCCTTGACCAAGTCACAAAATATCTCTGCCCATTTTTTATACACTTGACTTCTATAAACCATCTTCTCAAAGCTTTTAAAAAGTATGGAAATATGATAAAGATTATTATGCTGGTTTGAGAAATGAGGTCTCCAATGGGATACCATTCAAAACGACAACACGAACACTTTGCAAATAAAAGACAAAATCAACCCATTGCAGCTAATGTATTTCTAACAAAATAGTCACAAACGTCAATCATCACCTCCGTGGATGCATATAGATATAAGAAAACTAATCAGAAAATGCAATCGCGCAAACGACAAAGGACATAAAAAGCGGGCAGGTAAGAAATAAAACAATATCAGTTCTATACTTAGACAAGCGCAGCAGTAAAAAAATCACACATAAATTTGCAGCTTATCTTGAAAATGAGAATGTATCAACTTAAGATTTTCTAACATTTAAAAACAATTTATGTCAACATCGACAAGAAACATTGGTATTCAAGTAGAAGAAGAAATATGATACACTACTACCATCTTAATATCTTAGAGCCAAAGTATAGTTATCACACAGCAAGAAATATCAGATACATTAAAATCATTAACATTAGAAAAAGCAGCTCCTAATATTATCAATAACAAAATCCTCAAAGAAGTCTTTCAAGAATTGACATAAATCCATCTCTCATCTTTTCAATTATAGATCAACTCAACGGTTAGGTCTAATTTCAATGGAAACTAGCAAACGTCTGTTCTACTTAAGAAAAATGATCTCACTACTTATAGGACGATTTCTCTCAAGAGCAATCAACAAAGTGCTTGACCCTATAATGCACAAAGCTCGTTTTCAATTTATGACAGCAGAACAAATTGCAATCTGAATTTATAAAGAATGCTCAACAGCCAATCAGACATTGAATCGAAGGAAGTCCGTGTTACCTATTGTGGTATTTCGAAGGCATTTGACCGTGTCCGGCGCCGTTGTCTCATTCATAACCTTAAAATTACTGGCTTGTCTGGTGTTCTTCCTATATGGTTTCAGGATTATCCTTCTTGACGCTATCAGCATGTTGTGCTTTCTGGTACTCCCAGTGTTCAAAAGTGTTTTATTTCTTGGTCTTCCATTGTTGTGCACTTCAATAACATTGTCAAGGAAATATAGTCTTCTTTTCGACTCCTTGCTGGTGACACATTTCGCTACATTATTCCAATCTGCTTATATTTGAATTACTGAACTTTTCAATGTTTCCCAATTTTGGCAAATGACTTGCTTGGCTATTTCAACCTTTCTTTAACTGTGTCTCCTCTTATTTCTTGAAAGGTGAATAAAGATTTACGGATTTTGTCATATGCTCGTGGAAATAACATAAATGTAAATTATTAGAAGAGAATATATATCTCATATTTGTTCGTGATCGAATATCCATGGATATCATATACACTGTCATCATTGGACCCTTGAAAATTCGATGAATGCTTGGGACAACTTGTTTTATTACGACAAACAAGAACTCAAAAAAATTTATTCGAAGCTCGTCGTAGTATCTCTGTTGTTATAAACTTGTGTCTATCCTAACTTTATCATTCAACATCTTTTTGGCACGCTTACAATGTCTTATATATGGAAGATTGCTTCAGTTTTTCAAACTCCTGCTTCACGCTTTTTAAGTCTACTCAAAGGCTATATTTTGTGTTAATAGTCGGCGTTTTAGGATGCCCCAGATTTTAAAGTATTTTTGTGCTGTATCAGGACTCATTGGCATCCATTACACTGGGGCAAGAAGAAGGGCATATTTACATTAATGGTAACAACTCAATTTAACCATGATTTGAACCTAAAAGTACATGTAAACAATAGCGTCTGAAAGGTCTTTGATTTTCTAACCATTAGTCTATTTTTGCAAGATTTGCACGTGCATGTTTAAGGTTATTTAAATACATGACTTTATGGTTTGAAATACTGGTTGTAAACATGGTTGAGTTTCATTGTGATTTTAGAGAGAAGCAAAGAGCTTAATAAAAAGTCCGTGGATTATTAGGTAATATCTGGTAAAACAGTGATCCCGCGGATGCAGTAAAATCAGCAAAATTACATTAAAATTTCAGTCTTGGTTTGATTTAGTCTGTTCAATGCGCGTCAAAAATGAAAACGGATCTTGTTTTAGTAAATTAAGAAAATGCCCTTCTATCTCGTACAATAGCTATACGAGTGTAAATGATGGAGGAAGGTAGAATAAATGTCTGGAATTATCTTCGTCCTGGGCGGCCAATTTCCGCTACCTTTGACAACGAAATCAGCACTAGTCATAGTTGAAGAAGATGCACAAAACAACGCGAAGGGAAGGAGTGACATATCGAGCCTTAATGTGTTATATGTGTTTTGCATCTTGAAAGAAAAGTTAAGGAAAGGGTTCGCCCATTGGACCCCGCATTAAATTTGCTAAAACCGACCAGAAAAGGAAAGGGGTTAAAATGTTTCGGCCTTATAAACGAGGTTGAAAGATCGTGACCCTAGAAACACCTGACATAAATTATCACAGGAGGTGAAACGTGCTTTTATTTGAAAACCCAACCTTATACTCATAAACAGAATGTGGGTATGTAAAAACATCGTTCACACCGTTGTTGCTCGGCGTTGCAGGAGCGTTTAAAGACTTTTGATCGCTTAATTCTGACAGTGAGGGAAAATAGGAACGTGTAGCGGTGTGTGAGAGTGGAGTGAAAGTTTCTGCCGTTGCCACTTTTACCCCTCGTACTTGACCTTATGCACTTTTTTATACCTGTTCAGCAGGGCTTAAGGTATACTGTTCTTTTTCATTTTCGCTTTTTTTACAGACTCAATCAAACCGAGTCTGCAATTTTCATGTTTTTTCCTGTTTAAAATGCTTCCGAGAAATAACCTTTTTCCAGATTTTGAGGCACTGTTCTGCTGCAACACTAGCGGAGTAATGTCGAGTACCTCTCTTCTAAATGTGTTACTCAATCAGATAATGAACTTATGACATTTTTCCTCGTTTCATACGTATTATTATAGCAATGGTGTAATTAACTGTTGTCTCATTTAATTATTGTGCCATCTGCCTTATGATTGGGGAACTCATCGATCTAACCATTCTGTGGATCTTTCGAAAGACGTCGTATGTAGTAGAAGTGCGTTGCTTTTTAAATAAGAACGATTTACATGTTATTGCGAATGTTACTTCGGAAAAAAACTTTAGGGATGTTGACTATATAATATATATGATTTATAACACTATGTCCCATTTTTTAATTCCCTATTTTTCTACATTTTTCAATCAAAAAGTCCTAACCCAATGCCTCCAACTAAATCACTTATTTTATTTCTTGGTATTTTTTGAATAGTATAACAATGCCAAAATGTTTCGTAGATTACAAGGTAATACATTGCACGGACTAGCTCGTAAATAACATGAAGAAATATTGGTTTCTAAGTGTTCACATAAATATAAATCTCTTTTCGTAAATATTTCGTATTGTACATGTGCTGTAATCGAAACTTTGCATTAGTACTTTTTACATGTTCACTGTTTGAAAGGCAGAGAACACAGCCTATTGACAATATCAATTCACTTGCAGGTACAACCCCATTCTTTCTCTTGTCTTAACAAACTTCTAATCAACACATTTGTCTTTGAATACGTACAATATCATTCACAACAACTAGGAGATTTTTAAAGGTCCACACCATCCCATACCGGGAACAACTGAAAGCTCCCTCATTATATTTTAAGCGATTGTATGCCCCGTACAAATAGTAATTGAACAGTCTGCCCGTCTGTCTGTCAGTCCGAGATTACATATTGATATTCAAGTGGCTAGAGGAACAAGAGATAACATAACTTTCTCTTTGATTTCATTAATCAGTTAGCTTTTTATGTGGCTATTTTTCTACATGTGGCTAAAAAAAACAAGAAAGAGAACAAATAGGTAGCTACATAAGTACATGATTTGGGCAACTATAGTTTCAATTTTTATTAGTTATTGCCAATTTGGCATTTTTAAAATTGTCATGGTTAACCTAAACCTGCAATTTTGTGATATCTTATTATCATAAGTTCTGTCCGTACTAATGGCTTAATAATTTCAACACTTGCTTTTTAAAAGAATATTTATTTTAATTTTTTCCTTAGTGCTTCATTTATTTAATGATTTTTTTCCATATTTAGAAGGTGGATGCCTTACATGGTCCTTTAACTTTTTGTTGAGAAAGGGACCACTTGTGTCGAGGTCAAATCATTGGTGTACAAAAAAATTTAAATAGTTTTACTCAAAAAGCATTTATTGTGGTCTGTCAGTTCGTAGGTCAAATGATTTCCGATCAATAACTAAAAAACACTTAGGCCTAGGAACTTCAAACTTGGTATTGGGATTGTTCATGATCAGCAGATGACCCCTTTTGATATAAGGATCAAGGGACCAAAGGTCATGTCAACATTGATTTTGCAGGATTACAGTTTCCGATGTATAGCTTGACAACCAATAGGATGTTGGCCCTCAAACTTCGTTTGTGCATTAGTCATGGCAAGTAAATGACCCCCATTTATTTATGGACCAAAGGGTCAAAGGTCAAGGCCATATTGACATTATCGGTAAAACATATTCCGATGAATTACTTGACAAGGGGACCTGGCCCTCAAACTTCGTAGGTGCATTTGTCATGGTAAACAGATGACTTCTTTTATTTTAGGTTTAATCGGTCAAAGGTCAAGGTCATATTGACCTTGTATTAAAAATTGTTTCCGATCAATAGCAAGACAACCAATGGTCCTCTGGCACTCAAGCTGCAAAGGTGCATTTGTTTTGACAAGTAGATGAACCCTATTGAATTTTCAGTGAAAGGGTCAAATTTCAAATTCACTTTAAAAACGTTGCAGGTGAGAATAATTTCAAATCAATAACTTGATAACCCATAGGCTGTTTAACCCTAAAACTTTGTAGCCGAATTTGACTTGTCAAGAAGATGACCCTATTCATTTTTGAGTTGATGGGTCAGTGGTCATATTTACCTTCTAGGGAAAATGGTATTGGATCAATACCTTGACAACGTCATTGAAAGTGCGCTAGTCTTGGCCAGAAAATGATCCCTATTAATATTTGTGTCAAGGAGACAAAGGTTAAGATCATTTTAAACTTAAACGGAGAAACAGTTTATGATCAAAAACTTGATAACCCATGCTTTGCCCTCAAACTGCATAGGTGCACTAGTCTTGGCCAGTACAGGACCCCTATTTAAATTGGGGTCAGGTATCAAAAGTTAAAGTTACATTTATCTTGTATGACAAAAATGTTTCCTAGCAATTACTGGAATATCTATAGACCCTTGACCTTCAAACTTCACAAATGCTTTGGTTTTGTTCAGAAGATGATCTCATTTGGTTTTTAAGTTCAAGGGGTCAAAGGTCAAGATCAAATTGACCTTTTAGAAAAAAAGATTTCTGATCAATATTTCAACAGCGCATTGACCCTTTACTTGCACACTCACAGGTCTTTTGGTCTTGGCCATTAAATTACCCGTATTGATTTAAGAGGCACATTGACCTGGTACGTAAAAACTTTTACCGACAAATAACTCAACTCAATTTGCCTTGGTGGATAATTTTATTAAGCTAAAAATGCCTCTGGCATAATCATTTCAAGGTAAAATGATATACAACTATTCCTTATGGACAGCAAGTCATTAACTTGGAGGCCTACATGATGCATTAAACATATGTAAACTATATAACTTAGTAGAATTTGTGTTATTTATGTAATAAATTTGCTTCACAAAACCTTTACGGTCACAGTGACCAAGTGACTTGTCAGGGCAAGTAGTTAACCCCTATTGATTTTATTGGTCACTATGTCAAAAGTCAGTCACAATTACCTGGCCACATGGCTGATAGGGGGCATACATGTTTTACAAACATATCTTGCTAAATTGATGTCTTTAGTTTGTAATACAGACATGCCTAGGAAGATCCTAATCTTTTAGGTCAAATTAGGGTCATATTGGACAAGGTTAAGACTATCAATGTCATAATAGACTTCAAATTTGCAATTTTACAGGTGTAACCTTATTCTATTGACTGATTTTTTTATATTTGGTTGGAATATAAAATTAAAAAATTGTCTTCCTTTGGAGAATGGTGTTAGGGGTCTGTTTTGTCAAAGTGACCAGTGCTAGAAATAGATTTTCACAATTTTCCCCATACAACATTTAGTAATTGACAGATTTTTTTTATATTTGGTAGGAAGATAACTTAATTTTCCTTTAAATTGAGTAAGGGGTAAGTTGGGTCAAGGTCACCAGTGGTAAAATTGATTTATACATGTACACCTTTGCCCAAAAAGCCTTTATTCATTGACATATGTTTTTCATATTTGGTGGGAAGATAACTTGCTGAGTAATCGTCCTTGAGATTGAGTTCGGTAAAATTTGGTTAAGGCCACAAGTGCTAAAATTAGATTTTTACACTTTTGCCAATACAGCTTTTATTCAGTAAACAAATGTTTTTAATATTAGTTAAGACGATAGATAACTTGTATAGAATTCTTCCTTTAGTTTAAGTAAGTGATAACTTAATTATAAAACACAACAATCACTGGCCAACTTGTCAATGGTTAAACCTTTTTAGCTCACCTGAGCTAGCTCATGAAAATCTGAAAGTTTGTTTTGATGATTTCTAGGTCAAGTTTGAATATGGTAAAAAAACTAGGTCATACTGCTCAAATATGGATAATCCTTGTTAACACACTAGTGGTCACATTTATGACACACCTATCATGAAACTTGGTCAAAATGCTTGTCTAGGTAATTGTTCGAGTTCGATGGGTCAGGTGAGCGATCTTGAGCCATCATGGCTCTCTTGTTCATAAAAGTTACAGAAAACAAATCTGAGCCGCGGACATTTATGTTTAACAAACATGTTCTTGTTGCTTTTGTTTCTCTAATAACCTGCCCCTTTCTTTATTAATTTTCCCTTAAAACATTTCCCTATATTTATCTTAATTGCTTTTATTTTCATATTGATCATATTTGTACTTGAGATTCGATAAATATTGACATCTTAGAAGTGCAAGCATACAATATGTTGTTTATGCATGAATGTATTGTTTCATTCCAAAAAAGCTTGTAACTATATACCTTTTATTTTCTGTTTCATTTTACATTTGGTTTATTTAAATTCCATTCATGTCTTTAATATGTTGTTTAAACTAGCATGGCTTTAAAACATTTGTTAACATTGATTGAAATACTAACAGAAGTTGCAGTCTTTTTTTAGGTTTTGAATTTGAGAAACAAACTTATGCACTCGCCTGACAATTTAATGGATGAGAAAGGAACTCAAGAAATTTTTGAATGGACGAGAAGGCTTTTGGATTGTCTGGATATAGCCGAAAAGACATATTACAAAAAGGCAATAGAAGAATTGCAAACCGTAAGAACGAATTAATACATTTGCAGTATATTTCAAATTTGATATTCTTTTTTTAATTCTAAGTTTATGTTGGTTTACTTTTAAAGGTACAAAACATAATTTATATGATTAACTTTTGATTTTTTAACCAGAAATTTATTGAAGAGAAAAGCATTGATCATTTCATAAAGTTTGTGTCATATTTTAATTATATTTGAATCATAACTCATGCAGCAAAAAATAAAAGCATATATCAATATTGTAGTTAGCAATTATACATTTGTAATTAAAGTGAATATAATATCTTATTAAAACTGACTGACTTTGTAAAAGTAGCGTTAAGGAATTAAGGAATTTGCTCCGAAAATATTCTGATTTTTCTTTACTGATAATTCGTTTGAATATTTCAGTATCCTTATTTATATGGAAGCTATTCGTTGCCAAACATCCAGCCTTTGAAACTTGACAATGCATACTTCGGTTCTGCTATACAGATTTGTAGAAATATAATTGTCGATCCGAGAATTACATACTGCACTGGTATTACATGTATTAAGCGTTGTGATTATCTCTATTCGACAAAACCGAAGCTGGTAACATGCAACTTAGATAAATTGCAAACTGTATTTATGAATTTCGAACTTAAATTTGCGAATGTAGACGATAGAACGTACACAACACGTTTTATGCCGTACATTATGACGTTGAGAGTGTAACTGCAGGTTGACAACTTTACATTCTAACGCGATTTACAATTGTAAACGATTTTGTAACTTCCATATATCGCAATGTCACGTAAATAGACGAAAATGAAAAAGGCGAAGCCAGAATATAAAGAGAGGCAACTCTTACTGTGCAGTAATAACGCGTACAAAATGTTTCAAATTAGATTAAACTATTATATTTGTCGCATACATCAACAGCATTATAGAATACCTATTCGAGCACAGGATATTCTAGAAATACAAAAGTGGTGAGGATATAATGTAACAATGTGACGACGTTTGTTGAACGTCATAATACTGATAGTGAGCATAATAATACGCAAAAACTAAAGTTGGTCATTTAACATAAGGGAATGTTTCCCATATATAAGGACACAAACCACTCAATAAAAGTGTGAATTGTAGAATATGTTTACAGAACTATTTGTAACCATTTTGTTTTACATTCAGCAGTCAGTAGTAGAATGCGATACATGGATCTTGCTTTTGGCAAAATGAATAAAGAAAACTAAATAGTAAGCCTGTGACTTCCTTCCTTGAAGTTATTTGGTTGTAGAAAAAAACAAAAAATTTTACCAAGTGTATAACCACGGAACTATACAAAGTTTACTATTTATAATTCCGTAGTACAAAAACGTGTTAATTTGTCCCATCTTAATGTTAAAATAAATATTCAACTTAGCTTCTCTGTTTACCTCCATTGGGAGATATACATGTTCTTTGAGTCATAGGATGTGATTTAGCCTTTTTATTATTAAATATATGTAAGCTGACGTTGGCGAACCAATTTTAATGCATTTTATTAATTCAATCACAGCTCTAAAATCTTTGTATACATGTTGTTAATAGCTGTTACCTAGACTTGCTGTCTTTCTGATCAAAAGCAGAGAAAAATTTTATACACAGAATATGTATTAAGTTTTGTAAGGGATTGCTTTGTTAGACTGAGATAAAACAAAAAGGTATACATAAATTAATAACCAGTAAAATTCATTTATCTTGAAAAAGAGCATGTTAAATATAGTCTTAATAATAATTTAAACATCCTTGAAAAATATTTACCCTCAAACAACCCCATTAAATGTTAGATTGAGATGGTTACCAGGTGAGTTTTTCTTGTTTTTTTTCTAGGAAATGTGGAAACTACAACGTTTCAAAACTTATAGGCCTATAATCATTTAATGTCCACTGATGATGATTGAATATATTCATAGAATGACAACCATGCAATTGAATTATGTTTGGTGAATAACTGTCATGCTTTTCAAACACATATTAGGTGTTGTTAACGGAAACTACGCCGGTGTGTGCTCCTGTTTCCTTGATTCCTTGTGATCTCAGACCGCAGGCGTTGACGGTAAATACCGAAAATGAGCGGATAAATACGTTTATTTACGATTATGTAGTGGGCAGGAAAATGGGCGGAGCTTAGTTTATATCCTATTGCAAAACGTGGACAGCTGGATTATGCTGATTCGAATCATGTCAAGCTAAAGAAAAGTATCGCGTATGCACGATCAATGGGTATTCCGCATGTTATGATGAACACTTGGAATTGCACTCTCAGAAAACCAGTTTATGTTTTGTCGTTTAAAAAATGTATTTCGTTGCAATACATGTTTACAATGTTAAATCGGCAAACTCAATCCAAAAACAAAGAAATAGAATTGTATTTTGTCTTAAACTGTTCCACTCAGATCAACAAGGCTTGATTTTTGGCAACGAATAGCATCCATATATTAAACGCTTGAAAGTAAAGGATTTTTAAATCCATTCATTTTTCAATTGTGCATTTTACTACAATAATGTAGTATGCAGAGAGGGACTTTGTTGTGAAGTACCAATCAGAAGAAAATAAAAAAATTATAGACAAGATTTTAGAGGCGAAAAAGGTTGCTGACAAACTAGTTAATAGTATAGAAGGTGCCAATCAATTGCACAATTGTAAACGTTTGCAAGATATGCTTGGAAGTATTACAGGTTGTGGGGTATGTTTCCTTAATTGCACTGCAAAGTTGCGGTTTGAACGATTGCTTGTCTGAACCGATTTCTAAATAATCATCTATTTATAATAAACAAAATTAAAAAATGAAACATATTGTATTTGAAAAATTTATATTTCATTTTAAACTATCAAAACTGATATTCTCGCGCATGAAATCTTTCATTTATAAAAGCTCTATAGATTTTAAATAATTTGTTTACGAATAATTTCTTAAAATATTTATGAAAACTAAGAATTGTAATAATCATAAACTGCCTCGTGCCTTTAGCCAAAATTGACAATTGTTTAGAAATAATGTTTTTTTTACCGTGAAACTTTTATTGTTACAAATCTATATAAAAACTTATGTAAGTTAATCGATTAAATGCTACACTTATTGGTAAAGAAGTAAATATAATTAACAATAATTGTTTTTTTTGACGTGATAGAGTCAAATACACACTTAACTAACACATACAACTTTAAATATGTAAATGCTTTGACATATTAATTACACTATTATTATTGATTGTTAATGAAGTTGAAAGGGAACAATGTATTGGAAATGAAACCAGCTGATTACAAATTAATGGTGAAGAAAAGTCTTGAAGACAAAAGTGAAACTATAGCGTCGGATATAGCTGAATGTGATGAAAATAGCGATGAGATTAAAGAATTAGAAAACCTTAAGCAACATACGGAAAAAGTAATTGAAGATGTTGAAGTAAGTTTGATATTTTTACCGGTATAAATGTTTGCTTTGAACAAATGTATATAATGACTTAATTATTCGACTTTGATCTTGATTAGAAAATATTTCACAATGATTATATAATTATTATGCGACAAAATAGTGAAATGTGTATTTGAAATTTAGATCATATTGCTTGTTATTATAATTATAATTATTATAATAATTATAATTATTATTATCATAATTATTATTAATATTATTATTACTATTATAGAAATGGACGGACTATGTTTAAAATAAGGCGTACTACCAACTTATCTAAAAATGTCTTTAATGATAATACATAAAATTCATCTTTTTTTTATAAATATCGATCATAAACAAACTTGCAATAGTTACAAATGAATGATAAAAATAACATTATTAAATAAAATCTACATTTTCTGCAGGAAGTTATTCAGACAAAGGAGACTGAAGAAATGATTGATGTAATAAACAGTTTGAACCAAGAACTGGAATATAAAAAAGCAGAGGTAAAACATTCTGACCCAGGTTCTAAGAGTTAAGGAGACATAAATTGTAATATATTTAGATATTTTCTCTCAGAAAAATTAAACATGTGATTTATATTATTTCTAAAAATGAATCGGCATGCCATTTTCTAAGAAATTTGGGAATGAATGAGGAGAAAAAACACACACGTATGCATTAGAGTCATTTATGGACAAACAAAGTTGTAGCCAATTATATAATATGGTATTCAGGATTGTGAATGTCAGTGAGCAGACAATTCATTGAATTGATCGTTCAAATTGGTGCACTTATGTTTCTTTGCTGTTTTATTGTGATACAGTCATTGTGAATTTCAATCACAAGCGGGTGTGTCAGGTCGAGTGGTAAACGTCTTTGCCCCTCATTTTTGTGGTTTCAGTCCTGCAAGAGACTCATTTTTTCATGTAAGGAATCATTCCAGTAAGCTGACTGAAAGTTGGTTGTTCGACACAGGTGTCACTTTGTGTCTAAATAATGTAGGGAGGGGCATTTGGGGTTGCTGCCTCCTGATTAGCTTAAAAATCACAATTCTTTTTATGAACAGTTTTGCTTTTACTAAAGTACTTCCTTTTAAATCCACACAAACTTGTTTCTTTTATATAATTCTCTATATTTATACAAATTTATATAACTCTATCATGAATAAGACAAAATGAAGCCCCATTTTCAAATGTTTATGTTCCAACTCTTTTACCTCATTTCACTGAGACATCTCTGAGATTTGTTTAAATGTGATGATGCCTGTTATTATTACTTTTTTGACGTGAAATTTTAAGCTCATTTGCTTTAAAATTTATGAAACATTTACAAAATACTAGACAAATAGAAAAAGTTATGTGTATTGCCGTTGTAAAACCACTTGTTGATAAAACACTGTCAATAGAATCAGTAACGAGGATTAATTGCATCTCATTTTAAGAGGCAGTGTTATTTTAGACTGTTTGCAGCTTGTATGTATTGTTAATATTTCTATATAAAATTACTGTGTACATTTTTGCCTGTATACTATCTGACAATTATTAAAGTTTATATATCTTTATATAAGATATGTAGAACTTTTTTTTTAGAAAATGTAAAATTTATCTGATTTATAAAATTTAAAGTCAGTTTTCTAAATAATGGACACCTTTTGCAGTTGTCAAGAGATACTTAATTTTTTTATGTCGGTAAAATATGTGTTTATACTTTTCATATTTCATTTATCTTCAAAGGAACTTAATCTAATCCCCTATAATATAAATTGTATTAATAATGTTTCATTACTATTAAGTGTATATGTACTGAAAGATAAAGTACAATGAGATAAGATAGAAGTGACACGATAACTAAATTAAAACATCAATCAATTTGCACAAGCTATAATTCAGTTATCTGTATCGTATTCATGACCTGATGATTTCATTTAAGGTGATACATACTCCATCTGGTACCTTTATACAAAGTAAATGTAAAGTGCGTATTTGAAATGCATATCTACAGAGCCAACTTCTTAACCATAGTTACCATTTAAGTTAATAAATAGACCTCTTTGAATCCATTAACTTTTTATGATCTTGAAACAGTGATCTTTGCAACATTAAACATTAAAAGTGGACATAAGTAAGTGAACAAAAACACTGGTCTATAGCAAATATTCAACTTAATTTGTATTCTATGTTTCAGTACAAGTGAACCAAAAATATTTAGAGGCATTGCCTTTTCAAAAGGGTTTGATCTCTAGTGCATTTTAGTGATGAAAAAAGAGAACAAGACATGACTTCAGACAGCGTGTCTACTTTTCTCATTGCTGGAAATAAACAGGAAAGCAACACAGCTCTGTAGACTTGCTTATGAAGCTTACCTTATTTTTTAAGTTTGAAGTAGATAACTTAAACGGTTCATAAAAAAGGCAAATATCTTAAGTCAAATAAGGGAAATAATGAAAGAAGAAAGGCTTGTAGGATAACCTCTCCCTACAAATGCATTTATTAATTTCAAAATTGATATTGAACGTTTACTCTAAATTTGAAGTGAATATAGTTGATACTTTTTGTGAAATGTATATATACGTAGACAAATAAAATAATTATAACAAACGACATTTTTAATGTCAAGTTCACATTTGAATTATTCAACAAACTATATGTCAAGCAAATTCAAACATTTGAGGCGAAGTTCAGGGTCATCTAAGAGTCAAGGTTAAATTCAGTCTACTTCAAAAGCCATCTATGGAAACATTAAGAATTAACAAAACTTGATAAGAAACATGAGTGTTTTATTGTTTTAAAAATTATATAATTTTTCTTCTACAAAATGTACTCTTAAATGGATTAGGAAAACACGGCACTCCCTTCAAACTCTTTATTGACCATCTGACATCAAATGGCTCAGCAAAGATGTATACCCGATGTATACCCGAATATAGAATATTATGTGTTTATTTGCGCCAACGATTGTCTTCAGTTTCAGGTGATTTAAAGTTATCCTAATAAATTGAGATTGAACAGTTTAACCCATTTAAACGGTTTTAATAAAAAAACATCTTCCATTTTGTAAATCATCTCAATAAAAGAATTATCCAATGATGTATTTCTGATAGTTTTCGAGCGTTTTTTTAATTTGTTTTGTAAACCTTTTCATCAGCGTACCTGTTCTGAGGTTATCAGAAAAATTAATACCGCAATTACTTTTAGTATAATGAATATGGCCGACCCGGTCTTATACGGTCTCACTTAGATTGGCAAACAATTGAGGGGTATTGTTTCTATATTACCGGTAATGATTAAAGGTGGTAGATTTAAAACCTCATTACAGTTGAGAGACATTATTTGCATTGAGAAATACTGTGTCTCCTGTTCTTATTTAAAAAAAAAGAATCTTGGGAATTCTTTTATAAAACCGATATTCATTAGGTCAAGTAAGCAATTTCTTCTTTTGTAATAACTTTTGTGTAGTGTACGTGTGGAAAATGCAGCTTGGGGTTGGAATAAGCAAAGTACTTTGCCTGTTTACAATATATTGATGTAATTAGTTGGACTACAGTTAAGTTGCGATTAGAAACTTGTACTGAAAGATCAAAAACCGACTTTCTTTTAACTATATTTTTTTCACTGACAGGCAACATTTAAGACACAGTTTTCAAAATGACTCCAATTTTCTGTAGAGTACACAATGGTTTCCGCGTGTATGTTAAAAGGTAGTACTACAAGTGTAAATTGAATCTGGAACATGGAACACTGAATCCTCAGTTGTAGCTGAACGTTGATATGCTCTCACTAAAAATAAAGTCAAAATTGAAACACTGCTTTACTTTGTCAGAAATTGGAGAAACATATGTGTGATATCGTTATGAAGTTACTGATGTTGTAACTGTCTCAAATTCATACTCAACATGTTCTAAACGATATTTGAGACATTATTGGCAATTTGTATGATCTTGTCCCTACAAGCTAAATTAGTTTTGTGAATTTAAGTCAGTCTGCGAACCCTCCAATTCACTATGAATACTTGGAAAAAAACTAATAAATCAAATGATATGTCAAATGTCAGCTACAGAATAGCAATGACAGGTGATGTCGAAATTAATTACAATAATAACATCATCATCAACATCATTGTCAGAGTCATGTGATTATCAATAGCTTAGACAAGTTTACCTCTCGATAATGGACCATACCAAAGGTCTTTTAGCAGCTGTGAATTATTGTTTATGTGTCAAAAGGGCGGGAAAGTGAAAGTGTCTGTTGGTGGAAATTTCATCTGCGAACAAAAGCAGCACACCGTATATTTCCGTCAGACTCCGAATAATGTCTATTAAGGGATAATTTGTAAGGTGTTTCGAAGTATCAGGAACAGCAAAATTTCTGTAGACTGTTGACTCGGACATATTATAATGCTGAGTGATATTGTAGCTATTGTGTTTACTGTTGTGTTACTTTTTTCGATCGGAAACATGAATAAGTAAACGCTTTCAAGAAAACAACAATCAATTTAAACATTTAAAACAAGAAAAAAGGGAAAGAATCACATCACTGTTTGTAGTGTTAAAGTAAACGTGATTGACATTTTCCATTTTTTCCATTTACCAATATGTTCACCTCGATGTTAATATTTCGTTAATTTAAAGTAAAGTCGTATTTTGAAGCAGAGCATGCGCATAGCATATTCATAGACTTGTTTTTAATGTTTTAAGGTTATGATATTCATTAACTTTAATTTCAAATTCCTTACTCAAAAATGGATGCCGCTATCAATCAATTCTCAATACTGTGGAGAGATCTGATGCCTCTCGAATAGTAATAAAATGTTCTATACGACCTCCAAGACAAATGTTAAAGTTGGTAAAGAGGAAGAAATCATTGTTAGATGTCAATAATTATTCAGGTATCTTCGATATTTTCTCCGACAATTAATTATTGAAATTACGGAAAAACGACTCTTGAAGAAAGCCCAGTCTGATGTCAAAACGTGACTTGATGTTATGCTAACTTCAACTTTTCTTAATGCCTCATTACATGTGTTCCAAGGTGGTTGATCACTTTGTATACCTTGGGATATTCAATATACCTTATAAGTTTACAATACTGAATGTCAATACTTGATTCATGCCTTGACTAACTTAAAAATGGGTACACAATACATGTATCTATTGCAGTGTCGGAGACACAAGTCATAAACTGTAAAATGATCGATTATTATTGTATAATTCACAAAGGGTTGTGGTTTATATGTGTCTTTTATCTGTAAAAGCATGTGTCATTTTTAAATGTTTGAAATTAAAAAATATAATTGTAGAGTCATACCCATTGATAAATGCACTTTTTATGAGGGTTATCAAAAAAGGTAAAACAAACAAAATTGAAACGATTGCCTGTTTTTGAGCCACTAAAGGGCAAATAAGATATGTTAGCGTTAATTTCGAAAATCGTATTTAAAGTAGATCAGAGTCATGTGACTATGCATGTATAAGAAACAGCTACATAGCTGAGGTCATTATAAACTTTAGTCAATGGCGTCAAATCAATTTGTTGTTATTTTATTTCTTATACAGATGTTTGTAAAATTATTTTAATAAGTTCAAACAAGGAGCAGCAATAAAATGTTTTATATATTAAACAGGAAATTCGGCTGAAAAAGATCTCAGAGGAATCAACTGTTAAATTAGAAAAACTTTCTAATAGATTAGAATCGATCGAACAAGAAAAAATATTAATGGCAAATGAGGTAAGGACTGCACTTATATGTTTTTGAAAGTTTTTGTTCGGATGTATTTTGTAAGCATTACTTTGAGAAATTGTATCCTTATTAGCGAGAAAATGCAGTCTATCTATTTCAATAACCCACGATAAAGATGTTTTAATGTTTTGATCCTTATAATTTGTTTGAAAGAATGTATCCAAATTGAAATAAAACAAAACAGATAACGATGATGATGTTTATTATTAAGTAGATTTATACATACAAGTTAGTCATGAAAAAGATATATTAAAAAGAACTAGTACAATACAGTTATGTTTTTCTTTGCACATACAAGATAATTTATATCAATGTTACTGATTAAATGTTTAAAAAGTGGTTTATAAAATGAGTTGATGTACTGTCTGAATGTATTTTGATATCTGATTTTTCATCAACAGGGGTGTCATTGCAACGGATTCCTTATTATAATGAGTGAAATTATCACTTTGACTTTCGCTAAATATGTTTCATTCCAGTACAAATAAATAATCAACATAAACAATTTTACACTCTAATTTGATAAAAAGACCTTTATAGTTTAGCAAATGATTACACATGTATATAATTATATATTTACTGTGTTTCCATACGTCAGGTGGAAGAATATAAAAAGCAGAATGAAATTCTGAAAGAAAAGACAACCAGTTTGAGTGAAGAAAATTGTAATTATCTAAGATTTTTTTTCCATTTCTTTTTTTTTCGAAAATATTAACCTGCCCATTTGCTTACCTTTTCCGGTGATTAGTTGTGGTATTTTAGTCATTATACAAAGTGTCAAAATCGTCATTACTTCGATAGGAAATTCTTCGCCAATTATATTGTATCAAAAGGTGTCTCTAAAAATGGACTTATACAAGGATGAAGTGCACCAATTGTTCATAGTGCAAGCCTACGATATACAAGTCTTTTTGCCTTTCTACTTTGTATTCAATTTGAAAGTTGTTGAAAATCTTTAAATGTGCAGCCACAAAATGGCAGGTGAAACCGAAATATATTTTGTGTGGACAAAGTATAGCTAAGATTCGCTATTCATTTTCTTATCTGTTACAATCAGTATTGAAATACTTAGGATGTCAATCGTTCTTTTATTAAGTCTACCATTTATCACCTGACTCAATTTAACGCATCTTTATCAAGCCAGTAAATACTGGCGCAGAGCCAGAGTGTTTGGGACCTTGTTTCGAAATAGTGTACTTTTTAACGTTTTGGACATCAAAGACACAAGACTATTTAAGAACATGACGTTTTAAATGACTTGAACAGTGAAGTCGAAAACGAAGGGGTTTATGATTTTATAAGTTACTGTAGCAATTGAATGAAATAAACGACTTCAAACTACAAAGGAGAATAATAAATATGGCGAATGTTTTTTTTTTAACGAAATGACGGTTTTAAATTGACTAAATATACAATGACTTTTTAAAAATGTTTCATTTTGTTTGTACATTTTGGACTGTCAAACTGAATAAACTCCACGTATATCAAACATGGAGGTAGGATTCATACCCTACACCATACAGCAAATTATGTCATTCCAACATACTGTGCTGTAGACGCGTGTAATCTACCTATCTTAATATACACTTACAAGAGAATGGATAGCTTAAATAAAATTGCAAGGCTATCCCAGTCTTAAATCAGTACTTTCAACCACCGGATAATTTATGCAAAACAGGCAGGTTAATATTTTTGGACAATAGAATATGTTAATGTTTTTTTTTGTGTGTGTTTTTTTTTCTTTGAGCTGTTAACAAAAGCTTAATATATATATTAAGTCATTTAGATATTCTCTATCACTTTGGTACTGATTCAAAGGACTGTAATGACAATATTACTATCCATCTTCTGAAAAAGTCTTGCTGGATTTTGGAGCACATAAAGAATTTTAAATATGATAATAAAAGATACCAATTGACGTTATAAACACGAATTATGGTATTTAAATAGTCAAACTTTTATTTAACAAGATATAAATATGCTCATTGCAAAGTGACATGTGAGCGATATAAATACACAGTGCAGAAAACTATGATTAGTATGTACATATTTCAAGGTAATGAACCTCAGCTGCAAGAACTCAACCTTACTTGGCCTGCACATTCAGTTCCAATTGAAGAAAAATCGCAGTGTGAAGTATATATTTTATTTCTATCTATTCTTTAATTTAAATTAATATCATTTTTTATCTAATTTAAAGGTATATGTATATCAGACTGTATTTAAATCTGTGTGAATTTAGACCAATCAATCGTTTAATAAATGAATCCTATAGAGAAAAAATAATCTTTTTCATCGTTAAAAATTAAAAAATATATATAATTAGTAGTTTACTCTATCAGAAAGGAAAGAAAAGCGATACCCTGACATTTTAATATTCGGAAAGGGGTCATTTTGTAATGAAAAATGAGGCATATTTTCTAATTTAGCTCATGGTTCTTCTGTTCTACTATACTTCAAAGAATAAGGATTATATTTACATTTGAAAATAAATTACATGACTAACTTGATTTAAAATATGGCTAGTAATGTTAAGTTGAAGTGATTAAATAACTGACCTACATTAAAGCTCAAGCAAATAAAGGAAAATTGATTTTAAATGTTCATTATGATATTTCGAATATTCATTAATCAATTTAGTATCTTATGCAACTGATTCGATGTGATTGCATAACATAAACCATGGTCACGGGTATATAAAAGATTACCTTAAGTCTGGTAGAAAACGCTGCAAAGTAACTGACTAAAACATTTATCAAGTCAAGCTTATCATTGATTAAGATGCCAGAATTTTACTTTATTCAGATAGACCCTATCGCAGGGGTATCAAACTGACCAATTCCATTCCGAAGTTAGATGAAGAAGAAAAGATGTAAAATATAAGATTTGCGTTAAATTTATTGACCATATTGCTTTACATTTTGAATCATCCTCATACTTTATGAGACACGAGAACATGGCAAAATGTGTACTACATTATATCTTAAATTAAAACAAGAAATTAAACAAGTGTGTCCCTTATCTTTGAATAGTTATTGAATGATTAAATGCCATAATTGAAGAAAAAAAACAACAACAAATACTCACTCTGACAATGATCACTCTTGTTGGGAACGACTGATAAAAATATTATATTTACAGACTATTCGTTTTATGATGCGTTCTGCTTGTATTTGAAATAATTATAGAATTTATTCAAGACATTTTAAAGTAAATATGTTCCAACAATTTTATAAGATTCCATGACTCTTTCTGGGCAAGTCAATTAATGACTGATTGTGCATTTCAACCATTGTGAATTCCAATATTCTTAACCAGGAATATGTTTGTTGTTATAAAAGTTACTAGTGACCAATGCTTGCTTTTTTAGGGACAAAATGATGATCTTGATTTCACCTTAGCTGACGATACCTTGAATGAGAATCCTGACGGTATTTTATTTTCTTTATCTTTCAATATTTAAAACATTTACCTGAAGAAGAGCTTAAACGTCATTTTTTGGCATCATCTTTGGGAACTAAAAAGTTTTCAAAATATTCAATTTTACAATTAAAATATTATGCTTCTTATATCATATTTGTTCAAATTGATCTTATAAGTAACGGTGGAAAATAAACTTAACATAGCGGAACATTATTATTTCCTATAAGTCCGAATTCTTAATGATTCGGTATATAAATTATTGGTTCGGTCATAAGTGTAACAGAACAAGTAACCAGTAATAAACTTCTCATTTATAATTGCATTTACACAATGATGTGAATACATTTTTATCTAAGATATAATGCGTAATACCAGAGAATTGTAGAACATTGCATTCCTCATCACATGTATCAGGACTTTAAGAAAAATCAAAATGCTCACTGTTAAAACTTATATCGAACATTTGTTTATGATATGCTTGATAATTACATACACAGTAAGAAAATCATTAAACATTCTTTTACATATGAGTAACAAGAAAATTGTAGATATAACAATGTAGACATAACGTTAAAAGTGAATTCCCTCCCTTGTTTCCCGCTTAGCTCATATAGAAAACATCGGGTTTTAAATCCAGGAATCGCTGATTCGATCCTCAAGCGGCGAGAAAAATCTACTTGACAATTGATTTCTTACACTGTGTTTAATGGTAATTCTATCTTCTGGCTGTTACAGAAATCATGCCGGTTATGCGGACTGACCGCCATGATATTATCAAAATGTGTTAAAACCGGCGTAAAACCATATAAACAAAAGACATAACAAACTCCAAAATTCCAATTATAGTTATAATAAACAAGCAATAAAAGAAATCTTCCCTGTCAAGCTAGGTTAGTAATATTTACTAATTCTGCAAAATGAATCTATAAACAAGCTGTTATCAGTTATTTACATAGAATCATATAATTATGAATACAGATAGTTACATAATAGTGCTTCCTAAACTTGTTTTTGTATGCTTGCTTTAGTAAACAGCACACTACTTATTATGAAATTTACACGAATTAAGGAGATCGTGAAAAAAATAAAGATTTTGTAGGAAAAAGAAAACTCTGAAACACGGCAATATTACGCTGCTCATGGTACACTTAATTCATATATAATTGAGTTGTCAGTTTCGTCATATCACAGAAAAAAGTCATAATTGATTGTACCCTGTATTATTTTATAAGATTTCCATTAAAGCGTGTTTGTCTCATTTTCATAAGTATTAGCATATTGAAATATGACATCTTCTACACAATATTTGTGTAAAGCGTGCTTTACTATAGTTTATGATTTTTGCCAAAAGTTTTCCCTTATTAATGAAAATGTACATTTATATTCTCACGAACTAATCAGTTTTTTTTCCAGAAGAAGACCTTGACTCCGACCAAATAGAACAAGATCATCAGCAGCAGCAACAAAGACAAGCACATCATCATCAACCCTGGCAAAGACGCCATCGCCGTCGTCATCGACGACGACGACGACGATAACAAAAATGGGAATATTGTCGTCTTTTTTATTAAGTCGGGTTACTTGTCAGGTACCAGTATGAAAATGTATCAAAACATCTTAAAACGTGTTGGACAAATTCAGAATAGATAAAAAAATCAATATTAAGCCATCTAATTATACGAGCATATAGATTCCAATAATTTTAGATGACCTGTAACCCTCAAAAAGGCGTAATTTTCACACTATAGCAACATTTTAACTGATATTGCTTTTTTAAAGAATACCGTATGGTGTTTATTTTTATAACATTACATTTTGAACAGTAATGATAACAGTTACAACAATTAAAGTGTTTCTTTGTTCCTGACCATTTTCATGATTAGCTCACCTGTCACAAAGTGACAGGGTGAGCTTTTGTGATCGCTTTTCGTCCGCATCCGTCCGTCCGTCGTCCGTCCGACCGTAAACTTTTGCTTCAAATGACATCTCCTCATAAACCACTAAGCCAATTTCATCCAAACTTCACAGGAATGTTCCTTTGGCGGTCACCTTTAAAAATTGTTCAAAGAATTTAATTCCATGCAGAACTCTGGTTGCCATGGCAACCGAAAGAAAAAACTTTAAATATCTTCTTTTAAAAACCCCAAAGAGCTAGAGCTTAGATATTTGGCATGAAACATCTTCTAGTAAGTGTCTACCAAGTTTGTTCAAATAAAAGCCCTGGGGTCAAAATTGGCCCTGCCCCAGGGGGTCATTGATTTTCCCTATACGCATATTGTAAAAACTCAAAAAATCTTCTCTTAAAGAACCCATAGAGCTAGAGCTAAGATATTTAGCATGAAACATGTTCTAATGAGTGTCTACAAAGTTTGTTCAAATAAAAGCCCTGGGGTCAAAATTGGCCCCGCCCCGGGGGTCATTGATTTTCCCTATATGCATATAGTAAAAACTTAACAAATCTTCTTTTAAAGAACCCATAGAGCTTGAGCTAAGATATTTAGCATGAAACATCTTCTAATAAGTGTCTACCAAGTTTGTTTAATTAAAAGCCCTGGGGTCAAAATTGGCCCCGCCCCAGGGGGTCATTGGTTTTCACTATATGCATATAGTAAAAACTTAAAAAAATCTTCTTTTAAAGAACCCATGGAGCTAGAGCTAAGATATTTAGCATTAAATATGTGCTAATGGGTGTCTACAAAGTTTGTTCAAGTAAAAGCCCTGGGGTCAAAATTGGCCCGGCCCCGGGGCTCATTGATTTTCCTTATATGTGTATAACAAAAACTTAAAAAATCTCTCTTCTTTGAAAAAACCCAAATAGCTAGAGTTTAGATATTAAGCATGAAACATCTTCTAGTGAGTGTCTACAAAGTTTGTTTAAATAAAAGCCCTGGGGTCAAAATTGGCCCCGCCCTGGGGGTCATTGATTTTCCTTATATGTGTATGGCAAAAACTTAAAAAATCTTCTTTGAAAAAACCCAAATAGCTAGAGTTAAGATATTAAGCATGAAACATCTTCTAGTAAGTATCTACAAAGTTTGTTCAAATAACAGCCCTGGGGCTAAAACTGGCCCCGCCCCAGAGGTGTCATTGTTTTTAACTATATGTGTATAGTAAAAACTTAAAAAATCTTCTTTTAGAGGTTAGATTGCAGGAAACATCTTTTTGTGGGTGTCTACCAAGTTTGTTCAAATAAAAGCCATTGGGTTAAAATTGGCCCTGCCAAAACGGGGTGGGGGGGGAGGTCATTGTTTTTCATTATATGTGTGTAGTAAAAACTTAACATCATGAAACATCTTCTAATGAGTGTCTTCCAAGTTTGTTCAAATAAAAACCCTGGGGTTGAAACTAGCCCCGCTCCGGGGGCCTAAATACAGGTGAGCGACCTCAGAGCCATCATGGCCCTCTCGTTTTTAAGAACTATTTATATTTTCTTGATCAATAAATAGTTTTTCACGATTTAACTTTCATGAATTTATAATTTCAACTTCAAGAATTCATGAAAGTTAAATCGTGAATTCACGATTTCAACTTCGAGAATTCATGATTTCAACTTCACGAGTAAATTCGCAATGTTTGAACCGTAAATTTATGATTTTTAATTGGTGAATTTTTAAGTTGGAATCGTGAATTATTTAAGATGAAATCGTGAATTCACTAAGATTAAATTGCGAATTAATGAAGATGAAATCAGTAATTCAAACAGTTGAAATGTCTCCACAGATCTTTCGTCGTTGATCGTGACAATGACACTATTGAAGGCATGCAGTTACTTTTCAAACTCTGTTAAAATGAGACATACGTTAGAAATCTGTATCATGTTATTCATATAAACAATTTTATTTAAAAAGTAATATCAAGCAAACATTATAATTATTTTAGTTTAATTTATCATGTTTACTAACTTCAATACGGAGACTTAACAGATTGGAGAATTTATTCATCCGCTACAGAAAAATCATATCGGTATGACTTCACTACTGTAAACATACGTATCACGTTGGTAATGATACCTTTGACTTGAGAGCGTGAAATATATTTATCAACAATTTATCGGTAATACTGTCTATTTGTTTTGGAACGCCGTGACTGTCTTATGTGATCCATGTTTTTGTTATCTTGTAAAATGGTGATATGATTTTGTTCTTTACGCATGTAAACATGTGCAATTTAAATCATGTCTTGAAAGGAACATGCTGACTTGTCCAAGCAGCATGTTAACATGTAAAATTATCATAATAACATGTTCCAACAACATGTAAACTTGTCAAAGTATTTTGATGACTTGTGCAAACGACATGCTAACTTGTCAAAATACCATGATGACATTTACCTGTTCACTTGATGAATTATCTTGATGACATTTGCATAACACTTAAACAAGTTAAGAATACAGCGGATCTTGATATAGGACTGTATTTGGTCAGTTAAAGGAGACCTTTTCCTAACCTTTTTAGCTTTAGTATACACAAGAAGATAGCGTTAATCGAGCTTTTATCAACGCTATACTGAATTGATTTACACATTATTGTATCAATTGAGAGCTAACACAATCATCTATGCGATAAATGTACATTGTTTGTGCGAGACGTGATTAGAAACGAGATACTGCTGGCCTAATTGCATTCATATTCGAACATACATCGTTTATAGTCGTTTATAAATTTTGCGTTTTATCATACCGTCGCCTATGCGATTGCCATCGTTGCCAACTTTTTTTAGTTGTTTACATTTTTTGGTGTGTTGACGCGGTAAAATAACGACAAAGTTAAAAAATGGAAATAAAGAAAACGACAAAATGAATTACATTATATAGAATTCCGATGATTTTTTATTGTTGCTTTTCCTATAAATAAGGACGTTTTCCTCAAAAACATGTTTCTTGCATTAGCTCATTTATATAGATTTTTTATTGTGTAAAATAGTACAGAAATTATGAACTACACCGTTACACGTATCTCGATTACGTACTTTTAGATTCATGTGGAAAAACTCGAGTACGGGAATTCCAATATTTTCTGTTAACAACCCATTACTTCATATAGACGTTTTTGCACGCCTTTTCACCTCCTTTTGTGAGGCTGAAAAAAGTGACACAATGCCATATTAAATTAAGACCCCAAACACTTGTTTTCGTTTTGGAAATGGTGTTTTATTAGTGATCACATTTTCGGCGCCATCTCCTATCGAATAGAAACATCAAGGAGGTGCCAGAGAAGGCACGTGTCCCCGTCTGTTTGGAGGTTTGAAGGGGGGCACTAACCTCCCTCATCGCCAAGAAAATTTTGAACTTATAATAGGGTAAAAAGACCTTAAGGTTACGTGTAACCATCGCTGAAAAGCCTTTGATTCTATCTTAATCTATGGAGAAGTTGCAGCACCTTGAAATCAGTTTTGATGGAAAAATCAGCGCAAAATAGTGATTTTTGACAATTTTAAGATGTCCCCTTGTTGGCATGGTACATGTAACTTTAAATTTAAGACCGAGTATGCCGTTACTTAAGCTATTGCTTAAGCAAAATGTGCGCCAAAATTGAACATTAGTGGAGCCTTTTTATTGTTTCATAGCAATTTGAACATGTAACAGGAGGTTTTACAATGAAAACATCCATTTCTGACAATATGCTCATGAAGTAATGGGTTTAATACATGTATAACAGTTACGGCTTTTTACACATATAATAATCGTGGTAATTTATCTTGTTTTATGAAGTGGTATGACTTATTTATGAAGGGTTAACAACGATTTCTTAAGTGGGAATATCCTGTTAATGCATAAATGAAAACAATTGGTAAAATTGTGTATAGGAACATACTCAGTGGATGAGCATCGACAATTATTTGTCATTACTTGTCTTAAAGTAATGCACTTAATGACAAAAACTACCATTACATTACTTGCTATTGATGTTGGTGTTGATGTCGCCGCCACAAATTTTCAATGAATTATTATTTGATTATATTCGTTTAAATTTGATTTAGAAAGCATTTTTAATGTTCAGTACTTAATGAAACATTTGAAATATTTTTTTTCAATATTTTTAAAATACATAGCTTTGAAATACATAAAAAGGTAGAAAAAACTTAATGAATAAGACGTCATGAGTAAATAAAAATCAGACGTACTTATATGAAAAAAACAAACAAAAAACAAATGATATCAGTATTTAGAAATTTTAGAAGTAGTCCCAAAGTCAAAGCCAAGTGTAAGAAAGCTTTTCCGTAACAGAAAGAGACATCTGCACTTTCTTTAGCAGGTTTTAAGACATTTTATTATGTACATGAAATATAGCATTTTCATCGTTTTCAGCAGACTAACAAAATGCTATGAATCATGAACCGTTAGAATAGTTTAGAATGAGTTTAATACATCGAAGTTTGTTAAAATCATTTTGATGCCATGAAATTTACAATTTGCTGGAAATTTGATATAATTGTTATATTTCATATGAAAGAAAACACACACACAAATTTTTAGCTCACCTGACACGAAGTGGTGAAAGTGAGGAATAGTGATGGGGCTTTATCCGGCGTCCGTCGTCGTGCGTCGTTCGTCGTTAACAAATGGGTTAATAACACTCTAGCAGTCACAGTTTTGATTGGATCATAAACAAACCTTGTCAGAATGTTAGTCTCAATAAGATACAGGTCAAGTTACAATATGGGTAATCTTCGGTCAAAAACTAGTTTACAGGAGCTAAATGGAAAATTTTGTTAACACTCTAGTGGCTGCAGGTTTAATTCAAATATTCTGGAAATTGGCCAGGAAGATTGTTTTGATGACTTCTAGGTAAATTTCGAATGCGGGTTATCTCTATCAAACACTAGATCACAGGAGCTAACAATAGAAAAATCTTGTTAACACTCCAGTGGCTGCAGTTTTGATCCAAACATTCTTAAAAATGGTCAGGAAGGTTGTTTTGATGACTTCTAGGTAAATTTCGAATGCGGGTTATCTCTATCAAACACTAGATCACAGGAGCTAAAAATAGAAAAATCTTGTTAACACTTTAATGGCTACTGTTTTGATCCAAATATCCTGGAAATTAGTCTGCAAGTTTGTTTTGATGATTTCTAAGTCAACTTCGAATATGGGTCACCTGGGGCTAAAAAAAGGTCACACCGCCCAAATATTGAAAAACCTTGTAGACACTCTAGAGGTGACATTTGACTATATTGTAACCAAACTTGGTCATGATGCTTGTCTTAGTAATTGCTCGGATGAGTTCGATTTATCAGGTGAGCGACCTATGGCCATCTTGGCACTCTTGTTTTATATAAATTTGTGTTTGATTAGTTTTTATTTTGTTTTTGAATACAGTAATTTTCGTTTCTTCTTAAGAATGTTATTGATAAGTATTTAATTTTCTTTGCCTCATGTTAATGTCCATGCATTTCTTATTTTATTGCCATGTAACGATTTACTTCCATCATAATTATGTGAGTCGATACATCATTTGAAATATTATTTGCAATTTAACATGATAATGTTAAATATAATTTTTATTGCCATGGACAATTTGTGAGTATAGCCTGTTAACAAATCAATAGACTATTATATATTATATTTTGACAATATGTATACACAGATTCATATGCATGTTAAAGCATGTTTTTTACGTTTAAATTTAGGCCTATGTCTTCTTTGCTTAATTTTGGATTAAAGTGTTATGTTATTTCTTATAATAAAAGAAGAAAAAAATACATGAACAATGTTGCATATATTTTAATATACGAATTAATCTTTGCGTGAGTAGGGTTGTAGTATATTTTTAATGAAATAAATTATAAGTAAAAAAGAAAGAAACACAAAGTCAAAAAAAAAATTAAAAAAAAAAACAACAAAAAAACACATTCACAAGAAAATGTCCATAATAAAATAGTGTGGAAAAAAATATAGATATGTACCATCAGTAAATTTTTATCTCTTATTTGGTCGCTTGTAATGAAGCTTTTTGTACGTAAGATTATGTTCAAACGCATGGATTTTCATAAATTAATCTTTACCAGCTTTATATTGTTTTGTATGAAATATTTTTATTGAGGCTACATGCCATTTGAGTCAAGTTTTAAGTGGGCTGATATCAGCAGAATGTGGATCAAAGTTTGCGTGACTGCCTTTAAGAGCATTTTACAGCCAGTCTTTTATGAACCATATTAAATATCAATCTTATTCATCCGAGTGCATGGAACGTTAAACTTGACAAATACGGCATCAGATGTTTACTGTATCTTGTATGACATTGGTGCAATATATTTCTAAAACATGTAATATGAATAAGATTTAAACAAAAAGAGGTTTCACGTTATATATGTCATGACAGGTAAATTATTAACTTAATAAAGATAATAGGAACCATGCTTCTGTAAGTGCATATTAACTATAATATTTCAGTTGTGAAATGTAGGACCGCGATATTTTTGTAATAATTAAGTTCATAATATTAGACACGCTTGAACAAAAATATGTTATTTTGAAAGTATTACAGAAGATGTGATTCAATTTTAAGCAAATGTATTTTATAACATAATGAATTTATTATAACTAACATTTACACTAAATAGTTAAGACATGATAATTTAAAGATTGAAATAATAAGATATATACCATTAGTATATTAAAATCAATAGTAATGAACGTGTGACAGCTATTTTTGTGTAATATTATAGAAGATTCTGTTTTAAGTTGTTTCGTATTTTCTGTAAGAGGCTAAAGACCAGGTATTATCACAGTGTTTCACACCAGTTAACATATTTTTGTTTAGTTTTGAATAACAAATTTAATGTTGTGATTTAATTGTGTAAGATGTACTGACAATATGTGAATATTATATTGGTCACGTTGATTAAGTTAAAAGTGAAGCAGATACTTTGTCACTTAAATATAAATACATGGAAGTAGTATTGTACATTTGAACATTTGTTTCAATAAAATATATCCTCTGTAAAATATGTATTTATGTTATGCTTTCTAATTTGTTTATTTTGATATTTCTATCAGCGAAACAAAACGTAAATTAAATTGAAAGAGATGAGATAATGTTATTAACACGAGTATGAGTACAAAGCCATTGTCAAAGAAGAACATGTATCGATAATGAAGGTATACATTTAAGATAGTACGCATTTTAGATTGTACATACTTATTAAAATATCTAAAGGTATACAAGAGATGGAGGATATTGAATGAGTGTAAGTTCAATACTGTATTTATTGCACGACTTGAATAAAATTATATTATGCGAGCCTCTGGCAAGCATGATATTATCTTATTCAACGAGTTCAATAAATTCAGTAATGAACTTACACGAATTTAATATTCTATTTATCAAACACCCAAAATAAAGACCGTTTAAAGTGAATAAAGAGACATATGACGCGCCTTTAGTATAACGCTAACATTTGGCGTGTCTTTACACTATGGTTGTGTAACGCTAATAACGTCACGTCAAAATATATGCATGATCGTGCAATTTTTTTTTTACGAAGTCGTAAAGTCGGCACGGGTGTGTGATAAACAATACACTTTGCATGAACAATGTCAGAAAAAAGTCATTCATTGATGTTTGCTTTAGTGTACGTATTTCTTTCTTACTTTCCAGAGATCCAAATATTCAGCTCGGCCTTTGTATTTCTGAAATCCGATTATCTCAGGACAGTTCCCAATCCCTACCACTTTTGGATATAAAAAGTCAGATAAAATTAAGATCATTTAGTCAGATATCGACTGTCCTGCAAGTCGACCCTCAACGTTTTTGTTCTTCTCATTTCATTGTTATCCGTCCTTGTTCGTCTGTACTTTTTGATTTTACAGCCTTTAAGAATACGATATCAATATAACATATAAAGCCGCTGCTTTGTTAAATTACAAATGCCAACAAAATTCTAAAATAATAAATGTGGCATCTGCCATTTGCTGCAACGTTTGTCAGCTGTAACTTCAGCTATTACAATAAAAACAAACAAACAAACACATTTAGACTATTATTATAACCCATAGTTGCAACAATTGTATAAACCGCATTGTAATTACCTCAGATACATTTTCAAAGGTCATAGACTACATGGTAAAGTTAATAGGCGCAATAGCTTTAAACCCAGATACGTATACATATATTTTGTAACATACATAAAAGGTACTAAACATTTTGGAAAAAATGTTCATACATGGAATCAGATGTATCTGTACTTTTATATACGCCACTTCTAAACAGGCATGCAATTTCATAGAGTTAAAAGGAGGATTTTCTGTAATCTACCAGGTAAATGTTATGTTGCTCTATGTCTCGGAGAAACACGAATAGCTTTAATATGTCATGCTTTTACTATTTTATTATGTATTGGATATGTTTAACTGTGCTATTACATAATACTGAAATAATTATCTGTCTTCAATGCAAGGAAATTATTTCTATCATAACATGCTCATAGAATGATAGTCGGAATAATTCTCTTGCGCTTAATTGAGTGTAGAATTGAATTTTATGACTTTATTTTATTTTCTGGTCCTTTGGAATTATTGATGCCAGCACTATTGAGTGTTGAGAATTGAGTACCGCTCAAACCCGTGCTGGGGGGGGGGGGGTAGGCGTGAGGGATGTTGCACTTATTTATTATCCTTATATACAGACTCAATCAAACCGAGTCTGCAATTTTCACGTAATTTTGTTGTGATTAATGTTACTGATGGGATCACTTTGTTTCCAGATATTGTTTACTGGATTACAGTACTTCCATAACAGGATCAAGCAAACCGAGCCTGCGATACCTTTAATTTTGCCGCCGTTTTGGACATTGTTTAGGGAATTCATTTTCCGCCATTTTTCAAATGAGGTCAGATGACATCGAAACATTCCTTATTCTATGCATATCTCATTTAATAATACACTCGACTGCCCATTCTGTTGAACGGGGGATTATTATCAAACGTGTTATATTTTGTGTAAAACCCTCTTTCGTAACAGTTGTTTTAAGAAGTTGATCATCAATCTTAGTTTTCGTGAGTGGGTTGCTTTACACAAAATGCATGTTTTTTTGTTTTTTTTATTTCTTTTTGGGTTTTTTTTTGGCTAGTCAATTATATGTCAATGACTATATAAGGGTTAAATATTATAAAAAAAAACAAGTATAATAAGTATAATTTACAAGTACCAAACGTTCCGGTAATTGCGGAAGTCTCTTTTATTTTCCTTAAACCTACGAGATATTTACATGGCGTTTAAACAAATAGAATAATGCTTAATTTAGAATAAATGTTAACAGGACGCAGACATCGATAAAATGAATATATAATGACGGGAAATTGATATATGAAGATAGTGCGTAATCGGGAAAATGTGATGCAATGTGCAACTGAGTTCACAAATAAGATTTCAAAGGCAAGTAAAACATTTCTTTCTTCTATTTCTAATTATTATAATAGTGGATTTGTTATCAAACTATGTTAAAAATGAATTCGATATTTTTTTTTTTAAACGGTACTTATAAAAATCATTTACATAGATGGTGTAATGATACATTCAATATCACGATAAATAATCACTCAGTGATGTAATGCAAACGTATTGCGCCACATCACTCGTATTCAGTATGAATTTGTAAATCGGTGGTCTTTTCCTGCATTGATTGTTATCTCAAAGGAAGATTTCTTACGAAAAAAAAACTCCTTATAATATAAAAATGTACAACCACTTTTACATGGTTATTGTTTGAACAATATTTCTAGTAGATCAAATACGCTCTTAACGTTCTTATGAACTATAACAATTAAAACAGACACATCAAACATTTTGTAAAGTCCTTCATTGTGATAACTGGTCAGTTAAGACGGTGTTATTTTCTACTTTGAAAACAAAATACCTATAAAATGGATGATATCGAAGTAGAACGAGAATAATTTGTGTTGTCCTTTTCCTCTGACCAAATATAAGAAGTTAGATTCAGATCAATGTTTCGTAAATATCTTTTATAATACATAATGGATGTTCTTAAAAACAATTTCCTACAGTGAAACACCTTCCCTAGCTGTTGATTCTGTCTTTGAATATGAGTGTATGAGACTTCTTCGATTTCCCAACTAATTAAGTCGATGTAATGGTTGCAGCAACGTGCACGGATGAATCGAAATAATCAGTAAGAAAAACATAATGAAAAAGATTAGAAAGCGAATGCAGTCAACGAAAGTTCTTTCTATGTAAAAGTTTATTCTATGGTTACAAATAAACATATAGAGAATGAAAACTACATAATGAAGTTTATTTAAACGTTGGATAATTTTAGAATATGATCACAGAAACGTTTTAAACGAAAAGTTATTTGGAGTAACTGTTTTCGTGTTTTAGTTATCTGCCCTTGAATTTATTATTTTGCTAATTAAGGTCATTGCCATGGGAGATAACTTTAACTTAAACATGAATCGTAAAAACCTTTAGATTTTTACTTTTTTTATACTTTAAAATGTAACCTTCGTCAAAATGAAAAATGCATTAAATTCCCTTAAACATTTATGTTCCCTTCATTCAAGTCAACAACGTACACAAAACATTTTTGAAAAAGGCCATTTATTATGAAATTTTGACATAACGTTAAGTACATTGAAAATTGCGTTATGTCAAGTTAACCCCTCAAAATAGACATTGATTGTATCGGGCCCACCGCATTGCGTATCCACTGCCGTCTGCGTGACAGTAAAATGTAATAACTTTTGTCAATTCTTTTGTTAACAGGCAAAAACAATTTCAAAAAGTTTATAAATATGGTTGCTTTGTCTTAGTGTCATCCATACGATGTAATGCCGGTGTATTTATGAGACGTTTTACAAACATTTGTATGTTTAACCAAAATTCTGCTA